AATCACATGTGATTCACATGTAAATCACATATGAATTACATGTGATAATTCAAATATAAATTACACGTGATTCACATGTAAATCACAAGTGACTCACATATGAATTACATGTGATTCACATATAAATCACATGTAATTCATATGTAAATCACAAGTGAATCACATATGAAATACATGTTATTCACATATAAATCACATGTAATTCACATATGAATTACATTTGATTCACATGTAATTTACATATAAATTACATGTGATTGACATGTAAATCACAAATGAATCACATATGAATTACATGTGATAATTCACATATAAATTACACGTGATTCACATGTAAATCACAAGTGAATCATATATGAATTACATGTGATTCATATGTAATTCGCATGTAATTCATATGTAAATCACAAGTGAATCACATATGAAATACATGTTATTCACATGTAAGTCACATGTAATTCACATATAAATTACTTGTGATTCACATGTAAATCACATATGAATTACATGTGATTCACATATAAATCACAAGTGCATCCCATAGGAATTACATCTATATGTGCGCATGCATTTTGTGTGAATGTTCTTTGTTAATTATTTTTAAAAATTTTCTTATAAATTTCACACTATATCACATTATATAATCAAATGTGAATCTTAAATTATATAATAACATGTGTATCTTACATGATATGTACATATGTAATTTTTAGTGTTCTTGCATTAATTTTCTTACATGATATGTACATATGTATTTTTTAGTGTTCTTGCATTATTTTATTATTATTATTAATACTATTATTATTATTATTATTATTTTGTAGATTTAGAAGAATTTATGGAAAATATTAAAAACGTGAAAAGTGATAAATTTGAAAAAAAATATATGGAAATCTTGACATGAAGAAATGAAAGTATTTTGAAATTTTGTAGCATTTTTTTGTTTTTTATACTTTAGGTTGCATCGAATAAAAAACGTGTACTATTGTGTTTTTAGATTAGTAATAAAAATGAGAGTTTTTTTATTTATTTTTTTTTTATTTTTTTTATGATTTACTTACGAATATTATAGTATAAAGAATATTCATTATTGCATTGAAAAAATACGCATATATGCACATAAAACGTAGATTTTTTTGGTTAAACGATTATAGTTTTTTTCTTTTAAATATTCCAGTTTTTGTTTAAAATTTTACTGATTTTTAAAAGTGTATCGTTTTTTTAAAAAAAATTGCAGTTTAAAAAAATCATTTTTTTTAAATTCATGTTTTTCAAAGAAATAAAAAAATCTACATTTAAAAAATAATAAAAAATATTATTTTTATAAAAAAAATTCCAAAAATTTGATTTAATACGTTGATTTTTAGACATTTTTATTAACATTTTCAATAACGCACAAAATTAAACATGACATTGGTAAGATGACGATCATGCCCTTAATGTTTTAATTTTGATCTAACGCTTCATCTTTAGTTATCGGGTTCTCGGAAAACTATGAGTTCTCAACGGATCTCATATATATATATATATATATATATATATATATAGGGGTAGCATCAAATGAGAACACAATAGTACACATATCTTTCTATCACCTTAGTCGTATACCATCGCAGCATCGCTATTATTAGCTTCAAAGAAGCAGCAAAACAGTGGGTGTTGAGTTTTTTTCCTAGATTACATATGTGTATGTATAATCGTGAAAAACATAACTCACAGCCCTCCTACTTGTATAAATTTATGCGGGTATGAGCTCTCTTCATCTCCCTCAACAAAATCAGGGTTTCAGCCGTCAACCATCCAACACAGCGATTCAATTTTTTTTTGTCTCGGTTCCAGACGAAATAGCAATCACAGCCCCCTTCCATTTGTTTCAATAGATGCAGGTCTGAGTATGATTTTATTTCGAGTAATATGGGTTGAAGAACAAAATGAAGAGTAGCCCTCCTCCTCTCTCATGCAGGTATGAAAAACTTAATGATTAACACAACAAAAATAAGGGCTTGGCTCTGTGAGTTTCTTATAATGCATTAAAACTGGTTTTCTTTATTTCCTTCTAAAAATAAGGTGATAAAGATAACATTTACTATTTTGGTTTTGTTAATATGAAGCAAACACATTATTGTTTTGGTTTATAATTGATCACCTTCATGCAGACCTAGAATCAGATTCACAGGAAAAGGTTGTGCATACAAGCTATTTAATTGTGAGAGATATATGGTTCATTGAACATAATGATATATGTAATATGGGATTTATATGAACGTACATTGGAATTGTTTGAGAAGATGAAATATGAAGAATTTGAGCTATAGGGGAATTAAAAACTGTATTATATTTTGTTGTATTCATCTATGATAAAATGTGTATTAAAATATGAATAGTATTGTATTCCTGTGTGAGTTACTTTATTCATGTTTGAATGAATGTATTTATTTATGATTAGAGGTATTCATTTTATAAAGAAATACTAATTTTTACACTATTTTTTATTTTGTATTTATTTATGAATAGAAGCGTATTTATTTGTAAATAATAGTGTATTGATATGTGAATGACTGTATTTATTTCTGAATAACATTGTATTCATGTGTGAATAACTGTGTTTCTTTAATATTAGAGATATCCACTTTTTTAGTAATGTTAATTTTTACACTATTATTATTATTATTATTATTTGATAAAAAAATCACATTGGATTATTTATAAATCGATATATATATATATATATATATATATATATATATATATATATATATATATATATATATATATATATATATTTGTGATTAGAGTCGTATTAGGGTTTCTGAAGAAAATTTCCGTTTTTGAATAGAGGTTTGATTTAGGATTTGATTTCTATTCATTTTTTATAAAAAAAATTGTGAAATACGAGGAAAAAAATTATATTTTTTTAAGAATTTTTTTTTTCAGTTTTAAAATAAATTTTGGCAAAAATGTTTTTATATTCCCTTAATAATAAAAATAAAAATCTAATATTTCTTTGTTTTTTGGTAAGTGATCCTAAATTTAAGGGATTTGATTGAATTTTATTTTATTTTAATTTAATTAAAATATACAATTACTAATATACCCTTATATATTGATTGGTCTAGAACTGTTCTCGCGTTCTCAAACTTTTGGGTGTTTTCATTTGATCATTCCCTTATATATATATATATATATATATATATATATATATATATATATATATATATATATATATATATATATATATATATAGGGTGAGGTTCAATAAGAACCATAATTAACAAGGAACCAATCGTGAGCGTCGGAAATCATAATGATCAACGGCTAAGGAAATAGATGTATACTTTTATATTGGACGTACACACACCAGATTATATAAAAAAATCCACCACTTTACCAAAAAAGTCACCTATTTTTTCGTTTAAAATTTTTTTAGGCAAGATTTTTTATTAAAAAAAAAATAAATAAATAAAAATCGAATATACCGTTCTTCTCAATTTTTTATCCTTTTTCCATAGAGATTCATGTTGATATATAAAAAATGTTTTTTTTTTTCCGAAAAACCCACTTCACTTTGTTAGTTTTTTCAATATTTAAGTTTATTTTTATAAAAAAAAAAATTATACAAAAAATATTAATTTATTGTACTCTATAAATAAGCATCAACACACACTAAAAAAAACTCGAATAATATAGATTTACACTGTGAATCTAAACTGTAAATATTTCAATTTTCAACATTTACAATGTGAAAAAGCTCTATTAGTTCAGATTCACGTTGTGAATCTAACTTACTATTATGCACACTGTGAATTGGAGAATGTTCAAAAAAAAAAAAACCTCGATCAGTGTAGATTCACACCGTGAATCTAAACTTTAAATATTTCAATTTTCAGCATTAACAATGTAAAAAAGCTTGATCATTTCAAATTCACACTGTGAATCTTACTTACTATTACGCACACTATGAATCTGAGAATGTTTTCAATGTGAATTTGAAGATGTTAACAATATGAATCTGCATAAGTTCACAATGTGAATCTGAACTAAAATAACGTTTTTTTTACATGAATATGAATATATCTTTAAAAAGTACAAAAAAAAAAGAACATAAATTTTCATATATTTATTATTTTTTTTCTATAAAAAAGTAGACCTTAACTTTTCAACAAAGAAAATGAAGTGGTTTTTTTCGAAAAAAAAAAAAAGATCGTTTTTTATATATCATGGATCTCTTTGGAAAGAGAACGAAAAATCGTGAACAACGGTATACTCGGCCTTTTTTCGATAAAAAACATGGCCTAAAAAATTTAACAAAAAAAGAAAGTGTGTTTTGTTATAATCTGGTACATATGCGTCAATTGTAAAAGTCTACAACCATTGTTTTTGCCGTTGATCGCTTTAAATTTTGACGTTTTGTATTGGTTCCTTGGTTAATAATGGTTTTTTATTGAACAATTCCATATATATATATATATATATATATATATATATATATATATATATATATATATATATATATATATATATATATGAGATCGATTAAGAAATTATAGTTTCCCGGTACCAGAGAAATAAAAAGTGGAGCGTTGGATCAAAATTAACTCACTAAAAACATGATCGTTATCTGACCAATCTAATTTAACTTTTTTGTATTATTGAAAATATTAATAAAAAAAACTCTCAAATTAACATTATAAATCAAATTTTCAGATTTTTTTTACAAAAACAGTAATTTTCGCACTTTTTAACCTGATAATTCCAAACTAGTAAATCCAAAATGAGGGTTTTCTAAACCCTAATTAGGGTTTCCAACCCAATCGCATGCCAATTAGTCAAATGGTTAGGTTTTTAGGTCAATTAGGGTTTCATTAGGACAATTAGGGTTAATAACTCGGGCACCACCCACTACCACCTTGGGTAGTGTTGGTCAACAGTGGCTCATGGCAGCAACCACCACCTCGTGGTGGTGGTGGTTACGATTTTAGTCCAAAACATGTCCAAGCAACTCAATTAACAACCCAATCACACATAAATGCACACCGCAACCCAACACAACGGCTGGTGGCGGCAAAAGGCGCCAACCACCACCTCACGATGGTGGTGGTGGCAATTTCCTTGATTATTTCGGCCAAAACCATGATTATACTACATAATGTCCATAGTAAACACACATAATATAACACACACACAACCGCCCTTGTGGCGGCAGGCGGTGGTCGGAGGTGATAGCCACCACCTCACGGTGGCAGTGGTGGTTCTTTTTTTATTCCAGATCACACAACACACACTTAACGCAATACAACTTTCAAATTGGTAATTAAAACTTCAACCATATTAACATTTGGCAGTGGTGGTTCGTTTTAGGGTTAGGATTTGAGAAGGTGATGGGTTTATATGCTCCCGTCCAAAAATCAAAACTTCAACCATATTAACATTTTCAGTCTCTCTTCCTCTCATTCTTTTCAAATAAGGTCCATAAATTAACATTTTATCGGATTAAACTTTAACTTTATTTTTTTTGTGAAAACGACTTTCCATTTGTTCGTTTTTTCACATCTGGTCCTATTAGTTATTTTTCTCTAAAAAAGTTGTTAAATGTGAGGATTTGTTTAGAAAAATTTGAAAAAGTTGAGGATATATTTAAAAACGTTTAGAAAGATTGTGATTTTTTCGGTGAAAAAAAAAAGACAAAGTTGAGAGATTTTTGAGAAAAAATGAAAAATATAAGATTTATTCTTTAAAAAATAAAGATAATGTTTAATCCCCATAAAATATAAGGGTATTTATGAGATTAACTTTAAATATAACTATGTTTGACTATGCTTGAGAGTTTCACAAACAAACTTGTTATTGTTAGACACAAACTCGACTAAAAAAATGTAATCAAGTAGCTCAAACTCGGATTCAACTCGACTTAAACCGATTTAATTTTAAGTACTTTCCGACTTGGTAAGAATTTGGTCCAACGAGTTATCATCTTAAATAGATTACATATCTATTACGGAATATCCATGCCAGCATCCAATCACAAAGCGGCAAAACGATTAAAAAAGATAAGTAAAATGAATTTCCATAGATGCAATAATACTAAGCTGTTCTTACCATATTGCCCTTTCAATTAACGTAAATGAAGCTCTCTCCATTTTATCAAAATAGGCGCCGGAAGGCCCCTCATCAGGCAACAAAGCAGCCATTACTGGACCTTTAGCGCCTTCTTCTGCAGTACTGACTCCCGTGTTAGATGTCATATCCGTTACACAATACCCAGGATGCACGCAGTTCACAAGAATATTTTGAAACTTTCTTGCCATTAGCCTTGTGTATGCATTAAGAACAGCTTTCGAAACTTTATAAGCTGCAACTGTCAAGGGCCATCCATTCTCCTGTAACTTACCAGCCTTAAAGTCCCTCAAAAACCCTTGAATAATCTCTTTGATCTTTTCTTCAGTCAAATTCTCAATGTCAATTAACTCTTCTTTCAGCTTCTCATTGTAAAACCACTGGAAAACAAAGATATAATGTTTACATGTTCGAACTTTCTATGTCCAATCGTTTCAAATTTTATGTATATATGAGTTACTTACGTGTAGGTTTCCATAAGCAGATGTAACGTTTACGATTCTTGGCGATTTAGAGAGTTGGAGAAGAGGAATAAGCGCTTCTGTAATTCGTTTGGTTCCATAATAATTTGTCTTCAAACATTCTTCTGCCAATTCATAAGGTTCCTCAAGAACGTTCGTTAGAAGGTGTAGATTTTTGTCCATCACTTGCACCTGATCAAACCAATCATCACAAAGCTTCTTAACTATTCACGATATTGCTCTTTTCGCAATCGAGATTAGCTATATATGTCAACAGAAATACTCACAAATCCTCCTCCATCTCTAAATTTTCTATCATTTACATAAACGACTCCACCTTCTGCTGCATTATTGACCTGCATATGAGATTTACATTAATTTTCTTAATTTCAACATAACAATTCTTTAAGCGAAATTAAATAAAGATTTTTTTTAAAAAAAATATTTTTTAAACTATACACATAGATTTATACTTTTTTTTATAATTTATGATCTACCCAAAATGTGTCCTCATACTTGAATTACAATCGTGAAAACCTCTTTAATTACTTACATATAAGTTATTGTAGATGATTAATTACTTATTCTGTCAGAAACGAAGTATATATGTCTATCTAGCTATCAATCTTTTACATACCAAGATATCAAGTTTTTTGAAGTGGATTTCGATGAATTTGGCAAGACGTGCTATGCTAGTTGGATCTTTGATGTCCCTCTGCTCTCGTTTCTAGCTGTTAATACGACTTCAATCCCATTTAAAGCAAGCTGACGACATATTTCGAATCCGATCCCTTTGTTTCCTCCTGTGACAACAGCATATCTGGAATTTTAAACAAAGAAAAAGAACAACTTGATTCATGAGAAGATTTTGAATAACATATCTATTAAAGAAGATGAAACATACCTTTTCTCCTCCATGGCTCATATGATTTAGGTAAGTAAGAAGAAGAAAGTAACCTCTTTTATATTGCAACAAAAAAACGACAACCAGTTCATCCACTCTTTTTTTTTTAATCATTTCCAGGATATTGAGTATGGATGTATGTGGCTCAGGATCATCCATGACTTATTTTAATCTCTAAAGTGGGTTTTTGGGCTGGTTTCATACAATTATCTAAACATATATCGAAAATCCTTTAACTTATGATCTTTGTTTTATTTTTCAGAGACGGTTATTAATTGTTAAAGATTGTAAGAAATTGACGCGGAGCATCTTCAAGAGTAGCACCGTTAAATATGGACAAATGAAAACCGAAGAAGGATCTACAGCAACTTTGGACCCATAAAAGTTATGTATTATTCATACTAAATAAACTAAATTTAAGTATAGTATAATATCACTCAGTGGTGTATTAATGATTTAAATTTAAGGATGTCTAATTTGTATACATATGATCAAATTAAAAAGTAAAAAAAATTAGAGTAAATTATACGAATGGTCCCAATGGTTTGGGATAATTTATGTATTTATTTTCAAAATTATTTTTTTTAACTTGGAAGGTTCCTACTGTTTGTTTTTGTTGCGTATTTAGTCTCTGTCTTACCTAAAAATATTATTTTGTCCTTGATTTTTTTTATTTATTTAAATAAAAACACACCCCCAACCTTATTCTCACCTCACCTTATCTTATCTAAAAAAACTATTTTGATTTATTTAAATAAGAGCATAATAGTCTTTTTAGGTAAGACAGAAACCAAATGTGTAACAAAAACAAACAGTATAGACCTTCGGATTAATAAAACAAGTGAGACCAAACGCGCAAATTACCGCAAACCATAGGGACCATTCATGTAATTTACTCAAAAAAATTAATTATCGGTGGTGTATTAATTATTTAAATTTGAGGGTGTCCAATTTGTATATATGATAAAATTAAAGAGTAAAAAAAATTAATTATCGCATCAGATTGTCTATAATACAATTTTAGACAAATGTAATACCAAGACTAATCTAAGTTCTTTGTTACTAAATATTTTTAATCAGTAAACAATATAAATAAAAAAAATTAAACTAAATATGTATTAATAATTAAAAACAATAAACCAATCAAGTAAAATAATATATTTGGGATAAGAAAAGTAAGAAAGTCTCTCGTCTCCTTTACTATTTTCATAAGTTCAAAATCATGTTATCATGGGCCGAATATCTAGTGATCGGAAAGATGAAGAACTTGCCACTGAATTAGCTTAGATTGGGTTCAAAAGGCGACATCCTAGCCCAAGGGCATTGTTATGATAGTCGTTGTTGTTTAGCTAAGTCGCTGAAGAGCTCGACAATGAAGGGGTCGTAGCATTCAAGAGATACAAATGGTTGGGGGCTAGTGCCACTTCCCTGATAAGCCCATGGCATAACGAAACTAGTTTGCACGCATGGTATCAAGGTTTTATGGGTGGCCTCGATATGTCGCACGGGAAAGAAGTATTGCCATACTTACTCCGTGACAAGTGGTATGAGGATATTAGACTGCTAAATGACCACGAAGAATTCGTAACTCCTCACGGACTCCGTTTTCGTCTATCTTTTTACCGTTGAGTTCCTATTAATGAGATCTTTAACTCTCATTTAGGTCGCATAAGCCAAAAACCGCTCGAATTAAAATTCGAGTTTCGGGCCGTGCACTGCTATACAAAATCTTAGAAAATTCATAACTTCCTCATACGAAGTCAAATTTGGGCATTATTTTTATGGATGTTCTCGATTTAACATATTATACAACTTTCCTTCAGATCGCTAATGCTAAAAATCACTCTATCATAAATTGACTATTTACGTCTCCCGGTGCCGTGCCGGTTTTGCCGTAAAACTTCGACGAGCCATAACTTCTTCGTTATAACTCGGATTTCGGCGTTCTTTATATGTACGGAACCCTTGAGACATATTCTACAACTAAGTTAAGATTATTTATTCTAAATAATCTTTTGTCGAAAAGTCATTTTCGAGCCCTATTATCTATAAATTGACTAGCCCGGATCTATGAGCGTTACAATTATCTCCCCCTTAGGATGATTACGTCCCGAAATCATCAACAAAACATGGCAGTATAATGACTCCATACATTATCTCTTCATTCTAGGTAATAACTGTAGCTTCTATGTTGCTTCGAATGAGTATCTAACTCTTGGACTCCTTGACTGCAGACGGTGCTCGGGCTTGCACCTGCTTGTTAGACTTTCAATCATGACCTTCGTGTCACAACCTCATTCTTTATCAGAGGCTCCTTCTTCTTCTTAACAAACTTAGGATAAGTTAATTTGATTACTACAATTGACCGATGTGTCATATTCTAATGACTTATCATCGTATGTAACAACGCTTAGACTTAGGTCTCTTAGAGTCAAATTCCATAATGGAATATGCCTTCCTTCATGGTCTAATGTGATATAATCACATTTTAACATGTAGCATTTCTAGCCACCAACTTCTTTAACAACAAGCACGATACTTTTATTGATCACTTTGATTTCAATCATTTGGTTTAAGTCGGATGCTACATCAAACTTGGTTCTCTGAACCACGTAACCTACTCATCGTAGTCGGACTGAATGTGATATGACCACTAGGGTCAGGAAAACAACAATCTTCTTAGTCATTACCGAAACAATGGAAACAACATACTTGAATAAAACAAAAAAATTACTAGCTTCTTGGTAACCTTGTGACTTTCTCTAATCCAATTGTGAGTCATGTGCTTCCGGTAGTATAAGCCTCTACTACCATTCACACCTACTCATACTCATCCCAAGTATTGTCTCACAGTCCCCAAGTCCGATGAAACCATTGTGATCCCTCTTGATGAGATTAAGAACAACGAGAACCATAACTTCGTGGAAGAACCAATTGAAATCATGGATCGGGAAATCAAACAAACAAAGCAAAGTCGCATACCGATAGTGAAGGTCCGCTGGAATGCCAAGCGGGGACATGAATTCACTTGGGAGCTCGAACATCAAATGAAATAGAAACATCCTCATCTTTTTCTGAATCCATGATTTGTATTCTATGTTTGAATTTCGGGACCAAATTCCCTCTAACAGGGGGATCATGTGACAACCCGAACCTTTTTCCGTCACCATTAGCTGATTTCCGTTAATAAAAATTTGAATTTTAGTGAGTTTCTGTCAAATTCATTTGGCTTGGAAAATCATCTAGTTTTATAGAATTAAATTATTTATATGAGACGGAACCAAAATCGCATGAAAAACCTGACTTTTCTTGAAAAACCAAAAGTTTTTGGTCTAAGTGGGTTTACAGCCGTAAACCTGTTCACGGCCGTACACCCGTTTGCAACTGGTGCGAGGTGGCCCCCACCACCTACCATACCCCCAGCCTATATATATATATATATATATATATATATATATATATATATATATAGGACCCCCACCTCCATTTGAACCTACTTGGCCGAAAACTCCCTCATATTCCCTCTCTGCCTCTCATCCATAAACTCTCAAACCACCCTCATTTCTTCCAAAAATCATTAAGAAATCGCCTTTGGAGGTTGTTTTGGAGCATCTATGACGCGTTTTCACCGAATCCAACATGCTTGTTCTTGAATTTATGGTCGTACACCCTTCAAATCTTCAAATCTTCATTGACTACAAACAATTCACGATCATAAACCCTTCAAGAGGCTGTTCACAGCCGTAAACCCTTCAAGGGGCAGTTCACAGCCGCAAACCCTTCCTAACCGGTGAATTAGATTGAATACCCGCTTTCCTCGATCCAATCAAGTCCCGGTAACATTCCTTAATGGAAAACAAGTGTTTTTCTAACACATTATCTAACGAAATCGCTAATCTAGATACATATATGTATTTAAATATTATTAGGATTCCGTTAAGTGCCACATACAACAACTCGAGGATCTTCATTTCCAGTTCGTTGATTCGACGCTTGTACACAACTAAGAGTGAGTTCATACCCATACGATTTTATGGTTTTTTTATGTTTTCAGGGGGAATAGAAGCCAAACACAAATGATTTTGTGAGCTAAAACAAAAAGGATTTCAACAAGTTTAAAACTATGCAATTGATACAGTCAAACGATTTCCACATCCTTATAAAATACTTAGATATTTCATCCCTTTTGTAATATCCTGAGCATAAGGGACACTTTTGAATAGAAAACATAATTGCATAGTTTTCAGAACAATTTAGAAGCCAAGTACATAACATTTCAGGCAAACTATAATAGGTATAGTTTCCGGAATTCATTATACAATTTTTACCGATTTAGATTATATACATGGGCAAACATATAAACTATGACAGCCTTAGTTTATTATATTCATTATTACCTTCGAAAAACAAGAGTATAATATCAAATGATTATTTAGGTATAACTATTAATACTCAATCAAGTATACAAACAAATTCAATTTCGAGAAAACGATACAGAACTACACGTAAACTAGTTAATACAGGATTGTGAGACAACTCTTCAATTGTACACTTCAGGGTACTGGTAAAATCATCAAAAATTAGTGTAACCAGAGTCTCCTGGAGGGAGAGCGTGAGATTTGTGAATAGATCTATTAAGGATTGAAAATCCCACACCTAAACTGCTAGCTACAATTAGGCGGGCAGGCCTGGAGTGACAAATATCATATCGTGCGACGCCTAAAGAACGTCGTTGAGGTCATTAGTCATATCAAGCATGGTTATACGAAATCACAATAGTATAAACTAACCTTTGTTTATGGGATTCCTTTCTTCATTAGTTTTATTTTATTTAATAGAAATATTACACATTACATTGGAAGTATTCCAGGGATATGATACATGGTTTTATTTTAATTAATAAAACTATATACATATTGGTGGTAGCCAGGGTTTTCAAAAAAGAACATGCTATACATAGTGGTGGTAGCTTGGGTTTTCAAACAGAACTTATACGTTAGAAAATATTTTATTTTCTTGAGGAACAATGTCAAAAGTTATCAAAGGACCAATACAGTTAAAATATGTAAGTATATAGTGAATACTTCAGAGTTATATACTTGAAGATCCGACTTGCAGTGGGATGTGTGACACCGCCTCATTTTTTGTTCCTTGTTGGTTTTGGGCTTG